TAAATATGACTTCCCTTTAACTAGTTCCCTTTCACTATATCCATTATAACTTTTGGATCATACTTTCAGTTTCTTACAACAATGAGACAATACGGTGTTTACACATGTGAGTCTGATTTATAATTTCACTTATGAGTATGGTCTCTAGTTGTATCCATTTACCAATAAAAGCCTCAAGTTTACCCTTCTTTATAGCTAAGTAGTACTCCATGGAAAAAATACCACATCTTTTTTTTCTCACATTTTTTAAATCCATTCCCCAGTTGATGGGCATTTGTGTAGATTCCAAGATCTGGTTATTATAAATTGTGCAGCTACAAACATGGGTGCATGTATATTATTGTGGTCTAATTTTTCAATTCATCTGAAGAATATAAAGTAGGCAAACAGCTATATTAAATGGAACAAGCAAAGTAAAATGCCTCTCTGAAAGAAAGAGCTCAGATGCAGAATATGGCAGCGTGGAGAAGACCAGATGGAAGGAGATGGATCCTCTTGATCCAGGAAGAAACTAAAGTGAAACAAAAAGAAAGAAAGAAAGAAAGAAAGAAAGAAAGAAAGAAAGAAAGAAAGAAAGAAAGAAAGAAAGAAAGAAAGAAAGAAAGAGGGAAAAGAAAGAAAGAAAGAAAGAAAGAAAGAAAGAAAGAGAAAAGAAAGAAAGAAAGAAAAGAGGCTGTAGCCAGATGCATTCTCATTAGAGCCAGTCCTGCTGTATGCAAAACCCCACTGGAATCCAAAGACACATGGTCATGATAAAGTTGGGGTTGGCAAGCCCCAGGGACTCGGTGAGAGGATATGGTCATGGAGGGGAGCGGCAGACTGGATATTTGCACTGACTCACAGTAAGTGTGAGGAACTTAGTCCTTCCATGGGAGTAGGCAATTGTCCAGGCGACATTTTGGAGTCCAACCAGATAAGTCCAGAACCAGAACTGCAGTCAGATTCATTCAGCCACTCCTAGTGCAGAGCAGATTAGTGAGAATTGTTTGGACTGAGTCCTGCCCCTCTGTGTGAGGAGCAGGACTCCAATAGCCAAGGACAAGGTTTCCCTGAAGCTATCCCTAAACAGCCCCATCTGCACAGCACACACTAATGTGCTGAAGACTCCCAGTGGTTGACCAGCTCAGAAGGGAGGGGCCAGCATGCAGAATGGGGAGGGCCAGCAGCAGAATGGGGAGGGCAGCAATCCCTAGCTAGCATGCTTCAGAGTAACTGTAACTAATACAGAAAGTGCTGGGGACTGCCACTATCCAGTTGTCTGGAAGAAACCAGAAACGTGACAAGAGGAAGAAACAAAAGGAAGTCTCCAGCCTCCAACCCAAACAGTACTGGCCCAGGAGAGGTAAACACAGAAGAGATCGGGGGTTGAACACCTGCAGTTTCTAAAGAAGCAGCATCTCACATAGATACTTCTTTATAAGTATCTTTGTGACATTATAAAAGAACTCAAAACAGAAATACTAATATATGTAAAGTAAGATATAAAAAAAGAAATGCTAAGCACCTCTCAAAAAGACACAGATGAAAGAATGGAGGAGCATAGAAAAGGGAAGGAAACCTTCAATGAAGAATATTTTTTAAAATGTAGAATACATGAAACAGATTCAAAGAGACTACCAAGAAATTAAAAACTCCATTGAAAGTTGACTTGAAAGAAATTAAGATGGACTATCAAACCTTGTAGACAGGTTTGCAATGTGTGTTTGGGAAAGATTTCTTTAAAATAACAAGGAACCAGGAAGTAACAATACAAAGGCTGGAAGATGACGAGAATCTACAACTTAAGAATAAAAAATGTGAGAGAAGAAGCAGGGGTAAACACAAAGGAAATACAAAGGCTATTTACAGAAATGATTAAAGAAAGCATAAGAAAAGGAAATGAAACTAAGATATATGAGGCATACAGAACTACAGCCAGCTATAACCAATAGATCTGCAACTAGATATATAATAATAAAGATTCCTGAAATTCAACACAAGAACAGAATATTAAAAGCTGTCAGAGAAAAGAAACAGATCACCTATAAAGGAAAACCCATCAGAATCATGGCAGACTTCTTGACACAAACTATTAGTTCAAGAAGAGCTTGAAGTATTCAAGCCCTGAAAGAAAATAACCTCCAACCCAGATTAATGTATCCTGAAAAACTATCTCTCAAAATTAATGGAGAAACAAGGTGCTTCCATGACAAAGAGGAACTGGGGGAGTTCATGACCACCAATCCAACCCTACAAAAAATACTGAAAGACATTCTAAAAGAAAAAAAGACCATGGCTTCAAGAATAGTGGCAGAAGGGGCTCACTAAATGGACAAACAGTGGAATGAAGGGGAAAAGTAGACAACCAATGGCAGAAAATAGAATGGCATAGATGAGGCAGAGAAGATTGGCCATAATCACTAACATGGATGGCCTCAATACACTAATAAAAAGAAACACAGGCAGAGTGGATCAGGAGATAGGGTCCATCAAGATGCTCTATATAAGAAATATAATTAACCTGAAAGAGGGTACATGGACTGAAAGAAAAGGATGAGAAAATAATGTTCTATGTGACAGGGAAGCAGAAATAAGTGGAGGTGGCTCTCCCTTAAGCTGCAGATTGGTTGGAAAGACGTAACACTTTTATACAATGGAGAACTACTCAGCTATAAGGAAGGAAAACCTAGAGGCTCTTGTAGGTAAATGGATACAACATGAGATCAAGCTCAGGGTAAAAAGGTTCAGAACCACTTAGGTAAATAACAGGTTGCCTCCGTAATCTAAAAGCTAAAGGAGTTAGTGGGATACAAACTGTACAATACACCCTGTGAAAATAAAAGGGGAGGCAGAGGACATTGTGAATCTTGTATTATGATTTGAAACCCATGTTGGTTTCATTGCTCTGTTTAGTTTGGTTATATTCTGCTCCAGTTTGTCTACCTGTACTAGATTTGAGGATGTGGACAGCTATTTCAAAGATAGCAGAACATACTACAGTAACTATTTTTAATTTCCTATTAACTTAATCTGAAACCCTGTATTGCTTTCACTGTCTTGTTTTGACCGATTTTATTTGAATGTTTTGTTTGATCACTCTTGTCTTCACTGATTTTATTTGAATCTGTTATGTTTTTGATAGTATCAAGTCTGAGAATATAGGCAAGTACTCTGAAGACAGTAAGATTCACTTGGATACCCATTCTGGCTTGACTATTCCCTTCTTTTGAAGTCCTATAATGTCTCCGCTGAGCTAAATCCCCAGCCCCTCCAATATTTTGCTTCTATTTATTTTTTCTGTACCTGCTATATTCAATTTTATTGTGCCTGATGATATGGGCAATTCTATGGAAGATAACAAGAGACATCATGGTAACCATTGTAGATCATCTTGTATTTTGATCTTAAGTCATGTACTATGTCCATCTTTTTGTTTTCACTGACCCCATTTTTTTCTCATTTGGTTTTATTCTCTTCAAAATCAAAAAGATCAAATAGAACATCTAGTCCTAGTTTTTTGAGGAAGTTCCACACTGATTCCCACAGTGGTTTTACATCTGCATTCCCACCAAACAATGTAGGATTCCTTTCTCCTCACAGCATCTCCAGCACCTGTTATATGTTGATGTCTTCATATTAGCCATTCTTTCCAGAGTGAGACAATATCTCAGTCTTGTTTTAATTTGCATTTCTTGAACAACCAATGATGTTTAACACTGTTTCATGTATTTGTTTGCCATTTGAGTTTCTTCAAGTGAGAATTATATATTCATCTCAGATGCCTATTTTTGGATTGGGTCTTTGAATCTGGGGAAATTGATTTTTTTTCCATATGTTTTAGATAGAAATCTTTTGTCTGAAGGACAGTTGGTGAAATTCTTTTCCCAATCCCTGAGTGTTCTTTTCACTTTGTTGATTTGTTTGGATGTGCAAACACTTTTTAATGAGATCCCAGTTGCTGATTCTTTGAAAAACTTCCTGTGCAGTTTGGATTTTGTTCATGAGATGCCTAGCCCTATGTCTTTGAGATTTGTATCTACTCTGTCTTGCAGTACACTTAATATTTTATTTCTGGCTTAATGTTTATCTATTTGATCCATTTTGACTTTAGTCATGGTAATAGGCATGGGTAATAGGCATGGGTCAAGTTTACATCTTTGGCATATGGAAAGCCAATTTTTCTAGTACCATTTATTAAAGAGGCTACTATTCTTCCAGTGAACATTTGGCTTTTGTCAATGATAAGGAGGCTGAGTGTGTCTATAGTTGTATCTGTTTCTTCTATTCTGTTTCACTGATCCTCGTGTCTGTTTCCCAGTACCTCCTTTTATTATAGCAGCTTTGTAATATAATTTCAAGGCAGGGATGGCGATGCCTCCTGCCTTCCCTTTGTTGCCCAGGATTACCTTTGCCATTCTAGGTTTCTTATGTTTCCAGATAAATTTCAGGAATGTTTTCTCTAGATCTTTGAGGTATGCTAATATTATTTTAATAGAGTCTGCATTAAATCTGTGTAAGACTTGTGGGAACATGGCTATTTTCATGATGTTGGTTCTTCCTATCTATGAGCAAGGAATATCTTTCCATTTTCTGATATTCTCCCAATTTCTTTTTTTGGAGTCCTGTAATTTTCAATGTATAAATCTTTTACTTCCTTTGTTAAATTGATCCCTAAGTATTTCATTTTTTGTTATTATGAAGGGTGTAGTTTCTCCAATTTCTCTCCCAGTGAGTCTGTTATTTGTATAGGAATGCTATTGACTTTTGAATGTTGACTTTGTGCCTAGCTATCCTGCTGAATTTGCTTATTAAGTCTAGACGTCTCAAAAGGAAATTTTGGATATGCAGTACAAAACAGATTTGTTGTACTCTTACATATTTGATCATGTAGGAGTTATTTCAAGCCAACATTGTAAATTCTTATATATGTCTCATGTTAAACCTGTTTCTCTAGTAAACACTGAATAATACATTCCTAAAATTCATGGTATCCTTTTACAGTCAAGTCATGGTCCATCTGATCTCTCACAACCAAAAACAGCAGTATGCTTTATTTTTTCATAGAAGTGATGGCAAAATTACCACAAAACTTGAAGTTATAACAATATAACCATGAAAAGTAAAATGGTGATTGTAAAAAAACAAAATTTATGTAAATCATAATATTAACAATAATTTCAATGGAAAAATTACATACTTGATATAATTTTGTTGAGATATATCCAGGTATCCTATTAGAATATGAAAAAACAAACATTTACTAATATACAGGTTGTGTGAAAACAATTCAGCTTTTCAAAACTCATGTTTATATGTCTCTAAGTATGCATACATATACATATATACTATAACTTGAAATTTAAAAAATATTTACAAAGAATGTGAAGTATATACATCAAGAAAATTAAAATTAAAATTTTTTTTAAAAAATTAAAATCAAAGTAAATGGGATATCTCATCATTTAAAAAACAAAAAAAATTTTTTTTTGGCTTTTTAGTGGCCTATCCTTCCCAGTACTAAAACCAAAACAAAATCAAAATGATATAAATACTAATTCTACTTGGAAGTGAGAAATACATTACAATTCTTCTTATTTAATTAAAAGATACTATGTATTAAGTTCAAAGACAATGGCTTTACAAAAATATGTCAATATTTTTACAGTAAAGACTACAATTACTTAGTTTAGATATTTATAAGTCACTTACTGAAAAAGAGAAGGATAGGATCCTAGGATATCTCTACCTGAAAGTTTATTTTCAAAAAAATTTATGAAATGATGATATACAATTTTTCATATAATCTGACAGGTCTCCACTATATAAGAAATTTTCAGAAGATTTTCAATAGGCTTACATACATGGAGTTTCTCACCAGTGTAATTATTTCAAGTAGTTGATAAAATCTGTGTTCACTGAATGCTTTCCCCACATTGCTTATATATAAAAAGTTTCTCCCCAGTGTGAGATCTATGTATATACAATGAAAACTTACTAGCAAATCTTTTTCTACATGGCTTACATACATGGCTTCCAACCTGTGTGAATTCTTCCAAGTATTTGACAATATTTGAGTAGTAAATGCCTTTCCACATTACTTGCATACAAAAGGTTTCTCCTTAGTGTGAGTTTTTTCATGTACGTTATAAGAACTCTTTGTAGTAAAGGCTTTTCCACATTGCTTGCACCCATAAGGTTTCTCTCCAGTGTGAGTTCTTTCATGTATTTGACAGTATTGGTGTGTAGTAAATGCCTTCCCACATAGCTTGCACACATAAGGCTTTTCCCCTGTGTGACTTTTTTCATGTACATTGTAAGAACTCTTTGTAGTGAATGCTTTTCCACATTCCTTACACACATAAGGTTTCTCCCCAGTGTGAGTTCTTTCATGTTTTTGACAGTATTGGTGTGTAGCGAATGCTTTGCCACATCGCTTGCATGTATAAGGTTTCTCCCCTGTGTGACTTTTTTCATGTACTTTATAAGAACTCTTTGTAGTGAATGCTTTTCCACATTCCTTACACACATAAGGTTTCTCCCCGGTGTGAGTTCGTTCATGTATCTGACAACATTGGTGTGTACTGAATGCTTTCCCACATTGCTTGCACACATAAGGTTTCTCTCCACTGTGAGTTCTTTCATGTCTTTGACGATACTTGTGTGTAGCAAATGCCTTCTCACATTGCTTGCAAGCATAAGGCTTTTCCCCTGTGTGAATTTTTTCATGTTCTTTATAATAACTCTTTGTAGTAAATGCTTTTCCACACTGCTTGCACACATAAGGTTTCTCTGTTGTGTGACTTTTTTCATGTATGTTGTAAGAGCTCTTTCTAGTGAATGCTTTTCCACATTCCTTGCACACATAAGGTTTCTCCCCAGTGTGAGTTCTTTCATGTATTTGACAAAAACGGTGTGTAGTAAATGCCTTCCCACATTGTTTACATACATAAGGTTTCTCCCCAGTGTGAGTACTTTCATGTCTTTGGCAGTATCTGTGTGTGCTGAATGCCTTCCCACATTCCTTACATACATAGGATTTCTCCCCAGTGTGAATTCGTTCATGGCGTTTACAGGTACTGTGTACACTGAATGCTTTTCCACATTGCTTACATACATAAGGTTTTTCCCCAGTGTGAATACTTTCATGTATTTTACACTGAGTTTGTGTGCCAAATGCTTTCCCACATTGCTTACATGCATACGGTTTCTCTCCAGTGTGAATTCTTTCATGTATTTTACAGGTAATCTGCATAGTGAATGCTTTCCCACATTGCTTGCAAACATAAGGTTTTTCTCCTGTGTGAATTTTTTCATGTATGTTATAGTAATATTTTGTAGTAAATGCTTTTCCACACTGTTTACATACATATGGTTTCTCTCCAGTGTGAATTCTTTTATGTCTCTGACAGTTACTGTGAGTGCTAAATGCTTTCCCACATAGCTTACATACATAGGGTTCCTCACCAGTGTGGGTTTGTCTATGTCTATGAAATGCAGGCTTATCAACAAATCCTTTTCCACATTGCTTACATACCTTAGGTTTCTCCTCCATGTGAAATGTTTCATGAATTTTAGAAGTCTGAATACTGAAAGTTTCCCCATATTGCTTATATACATACAGTTTCTTACCAGTGTAAATATTTTCATGGATTTGAACACCACTGGGAGTCCTGGAGGCTTTCATACTTTTCTTACCTCCAGTGGTCTTCTCTCCAGGGTCAGGTCTTTCATTACATGCAGAGTAGGTTTTCCCATATTGCTCATATTGATAGGGTGTCTCTCCAATCTTTATTGCTGCAAGCTTCATAAAGGACTGAAAATCACTGCAGCTTTCTCCATGCTCAATACATTTACTCAGCTTATCATCCAATCCCAAATACTCATCTGGTTGCAGGCCAATGTAAGGTAAAATGGGAACAATTCTTGATAAATGCCCAATCAGGGGCTTTCTACAAGCAAGGCTTTCAGTTGGTTTTAAAGCAGCTTGCTGCATGTCCACTTTAGCATCTGGAGAACAAGGGAATAAATTTCCATATTGATCACAAGATTTATATGGATACCATTTTGCTTCCTCTTCATTTCTGTGAAGAAAAAAAGAACAAAAGTATCAATCACAATAGAAGGTCTCCATATCCGTAATTTATCAAGACAGGTTTTGGTTTGATACTTGCTAAAATTTTATGGGAATGAATTGGCTGATTGCCCTGGAGGATACCTCTAAAACACTCATTCTCCAAAGGATAGTATTCAATGAAGAATTTTAAATTGATAAATACTTGCAATACTTAGGGTCTACTTTCAATTATGTCCTTGATACATATATGGATTATACATTCCTTTTCACTCCTTTTTCCCCATCACTCTCCCCTTCTCTCCTTACCGTGGCCATGTTTCCCACCTCCAACAAATCAGCCTTTCTTTTCCCTAGCATTTCTTAATTTTACTCCCTATTTTAAATTTTGGTACCTTGCATAAAATAAAACAAATGATAATTCACATTGTATGTCTCATTTATTTAATTTAACATTATAAGATGGAGTCTCATCTGTTTGTGTTGGTTTTGGTTTTTTTGTCAAAAAATATATAATTATCCTTTATGGCTGAACATATAGCATGTTCTTCCAGTGCTAAGAATCAAACAAGGTTCTTAACACTAAATTAAATTTCTAGATTTTTTATCTCTAAGTCTAATTTTGAAGTCTAATTAATCACTAATTTGGTGAGCATGAACTTCATGTTGTCATCCTGCTCACTAAGTTTACCACAGTACTGGGATTAGAAGAAGGGACCACTGTGTTGAGCCTATCCAACATGTTCTTCATCCATACATTCCATGAAAGGCATCTAGACTTTCAAGAGAAATCAGGTACTGTGAATTATTTCCACAACTCAAGGACTGTGAATACCCATGCATTGCTTTGAGCATGACTACATATGTACAAGATAAAGTAATTGTGAACTGTTTCAAAATATACAAAGGGAAGTATGCCTGGATCATATGCAAACTTGCAATTCTACATTTGAGACATCTGTATATTTATAATCAAAATAGTTTATATTCCTAACAACAAAACATGAGGGTGTCTCCTAGGAATTTTAAAACATGAATGTATCCAATTCTCTGAAGGATGTTTTCAAACTATCACCACACTAACAATAATTTGCCTTATGAATATTGCTTCCAAGTTAGCAATATTTTAGATAATGTACATATCATATTTGCATATATAATTTGAAGATGAGTTTCTATCAAAGTCCATAATTTATTCTTCTCATACATACCTACGTACATTATCTAAATGCAAAGTCATACATTTTCATGACATTGATCATAACAGAAGGCTTTTATACTGATGTATGAGACAGTGTCTCTTATAGCACAGTGTTTTTGCCAAGTTAGTTTCCTATATTGGAGTATTTCTGTATTAAAGGTCAAATTATACAAAATCAACTATATGAAAACTAAAAGAATTTTTTGAGATTAAATAAATGTGAACATAACTTCATTTTTCTAGATTCCTTGCTTGTAATGTTTCTGCTCATACACCAACTCTTAGGGAATATTACTTTTCCTTGTAAATGAAAATTACCTTAGATTTCTTGAGCAACTTTTGTATTCTTCAATTTGCTGGTTTTCCCAGATCCTTCCTGAATTGTAGCCAAGAAATACAAAAAAATCACTATGTCATTATACAACAACTAGCAGGTAGCAGTTAGAACCACAGTAAAATATAAACAGGTCTGAGATGTTTTTCAAAATGTTTTCATGTTCTACTTAATACATCACTATCAGTGAGCAAGAACCAATGCTCTATGATTGCATAAATGAGAAAACAATGTCATCCTTACCTATAGCAGTCATATTCATAAATGTTTCCCACATCACATCTCTGTATAAGTCCTTTTGGAATGGATTCAGCAAAGCCCACTCCTCCATGGTAAAGTTCACAGCAACATCCTCCAAGGAAACTGGCTCCTAAATAATCACAGATACATTTCCTGAAAAAAGGTTGAGATTTACAACTTGAGATATCTGAACTCCTCTTGTGAAAACTGAACTGAGCTTGATTGCCTTGGTCAACAAACTCATGAATGTGGATATATTTTCACACAGCAATTTTGATGCTAGACTGCAACTCACTGCTACAGCGGTAGCAAAAGAGTACCATGGTTGACTGAAAGAGTCCCAGAAATTGTATTTGTGCACTGTTTCAAAACAGAGCTCATAGAAAGTCCATGGAAATTACCATCCACAAAACGCAAAAGAGGATAAATATTAAACAAATTTTTCTAATAGATCAAACTCTATGCCTATTTAAATCTGACTATTCATAGAATTAAGTCATTCTTTCTTTGATTGTACTTAGGTAGCATGAACACCAACAGAACGAATCCACCAGGCAATACAAGCAACTCAATGGAGGGGAAAAAATGGGAGCCAACTACAGGAAAATAACATGACAAGGATAAGTGCATGCACAACAGTTATAACCATCATACTTAATGGTTTCAATTTACCAATCAAAAGAAACAGACACACAGACTGTATTAAAAGGCAAGATCATGACATGCTGCATATAAGAAACACATATAATTCAAAAAGAAATTCCCACACTCAAAAGTCAAAACTTCATATGAAAGGAACTGAGAAAAAGGCAGGGGTAGCTACTCTGTTAGCAGAAAAAATGAATTTTAATCCAAGACTGATTAGGAGAGACAAAGAAAGTTACTAAATGCTAGTAAAAGAAACAATCGAAGAGGGACAACAAGAATATTAATGCACCCAACTACATACAACAAATATTAATGGACATGAAAAATCCAATATTTACTAATACAACTATAATGGGAAACACCTCAATAAAACACTGTTACAAACAGGCAGATCAACTAGACAAAAAAATCAACAATGAAACATCAGAATTGAACTAAGTGTTTGAACAAATCAACTTAGTAGATGTCTGCAGTGTTCTACCCTATAATATCAGGATATGCATTCTTCCTAGCTACACATTGACATTATCCAAAATAGAAAACATGCTAGTTCACAGAACATGTTTAAGTAAATGCAAAAGAACTGAAGCTATCCCATGCATATCATCAGAACACAGTGGAATGAAACTGGAAATCAATGGCAAAAAGCCCACACACAAGAACTTCAGAAACACATAGAAATTATAACCCTCCTGAAAACAGATGAAATAAAGGAAGAAATTACACGTTTTATAAATGATAATCTCAATACAACATAATGAGACTTATGAGACACAATGAAAGCAGTCTTTGAGGGAAATTTATAGTGAGGAATTTCAACATCCAGGAAAAAGAGCAAGATCAACCTCAAATTTGTAGAATAAGAAGAGAAATACAAGACCAAAGCTTATACATGGGAGAAAGAGCACAAATTAATGCAATGGAAAAAAAATTAATGCAATGGAGGCTAAGAAAACAATACAAAGAATCAATAAACAAATAATTGGTTCTTTGAATGAATAATAAAATTAGGAAAACCCTAGTCAATCGTATCAAAAAAGAAAAGACTCAAATTCATGTAGTTAGAAACAAAATGGGTAAAATTGCAATAAATTCTACAGAAATCCAGAAGATCATCAATACCTATACTGAAAATCTATATTCTAATAGAATAGAAAATGCAGAAAAAATGGACAGATCTCTTAATACATATGAATTATCAAAGCTGAAGCAAGAAGATATAACATTTTAAATAACCTAATATCACTTAATGAAATTGAACACATAATTAAAAATCTATTAACAAAGAAAAGTCCATATCTGTTAAATTCACTGCTGAATTCTACAAGAACTTTAGAGAAGATCTAATACCATTGCTTCTCAAATGCTTTAATGAAATTTAGAGGAAAATAATAATCCCAAATTCATTCCTGGAAGCAAGTATTACCTTGACACCAAAGCCAGAAAAGGATACAATTAGAAGCTAATCTCCCTAGTGAACATACATATAAATATCCTCAGTAAGAAACTGGCAAAAAATGCACCATATCATCAAGATTATATACCATGGCAAGCAGAATTCATCCCAGGGCTATAGGGATTGTTTAACAACAAAAAGCTATAAATGTAATATATAAATGTAATATATCATGTTAGCCAAGGACAAAAACAGTATGATCATGTTTAAAGATACAGAAAAGCCACATGACAAAGTCCAACATCCATCCATGATAAAAACTCACTGAAAATTACAATAGGTCTTTATCTCAGTCCATTAAAAGCCATTCATGACAAAGCAACAGTGTCTTAGTTACATTTTCTCTCATTGAGACAAAATATCTGATCCAAAGTGAAGGGAATGTTTATTTCTTACAGTTTTTGGGGTTTCAGTCTATATTCAGCCGGCTCCAAGTAAAGATGGTGGGGCTGCTGTTTATGGCAGCAAAGCGCAAACCAGCAAGAGAGAAAAGACAAGGCTTCTTCCTGCCCTTACACTGTATGTTAGCTCCACCCCTGGGTAGATGTAGCACTCATACCACCAATCCCAGTGCTAGACAATGAACCAAACATGAATGTTAGATTCAGCTGTGCCCATTATTATATGAGGCTTGGGGAGGGGGCATCTGAATAAACCATAACATTCCACCCCTGCTCCCCCAAAGATGTATGCACATACTTTATACATTTAGTCCATCTCCAAGAGCTGTCAAAGTCCTAACATTGCTGAAAAGGCCAAGTCCCAAGTCTCCTCTGAAATATAAGGCAAACTTTAGCTGCAAGCCTCTGTATAAATGAAAACAAAGTTAAACATTTCCAACATACAATGGCAAAATATTACCATTTCAAAGGGTATAAACAGGGGGATACAAAGAATTGGGACCAAAGGAAGTCCAGCAGGGCAAACGTTAAGTCTTGGAGTTCCACATTCAGCATCTGAAGCAATCTGGTTGTGAGCTCCAAAAGGCTTGAGTGACTTCACCCCCATTGCACTTGCAGGAGTTTCCACTCCCACAACTTCTCTCTTAAGCTGATTCTGCTCAGTATTTGCAGCTTTCCTTGGATGATCCACGCTCCTGGCTTTTCCACACTTCTGGGGTCTCCACTGTACCTTAGGCTTCACACTCCCGGCTTCACATATTGTCCTCTCAGGGGCACAATGCTTGGCCTCCCAGGGCTTCTGAAATTGGGGAGGAAGCTGCCTTAATCTCAGAACTTCTGCATTCTCCATTCACCTAGAATCAGCACCACATGGAGGCTGCTGAGGTCTGCTGCCAGCTGGAGCAGTAGCCAGGTTTCTTCTCTCTTGGCTGTAGGGGTCAAGTGCCTGGTTTGCTGAGCTCTCTGAACCTGATTGTGAGGAACAGATTCTCTATGCCACCATCATCCAGGAATCTGGTGTGGCCACTACCATTTTGGAACCTCCTATAGCCTGTGTTGCCACTCTAGAATACAGTACTCTGTGACGTTCTTCTCCATGCAAAGTTTTTCACATTTGCATTTTTTATTTCTTAAAAACACAAAAGCAAAACAGACAAAAAGGTAGAAACAGTTTTGAGGCTGCAAAGGGTAGAGACCCACTGCTTCCTGGGATGCCCCTAGGCCATCGTTTTTATTTTTCTGTTCCTTCTGAGCAATCAAGGTCTCAGCTCTATCTTTACAGTTCACAGCTTTCTGGCCTAACTTACACTATTTTAAATCATCATGCTGAGGTCTTTGCTCTTGATTCACAACATAAATCTAGCTAAAATTTCCCAACAATAGCCACGCCACTGCCTCAACACTAGACTGCCTTGAAATTTCTTTTACCAAACTAATCAGTCTGCTGCTCTTAATCTTAGTCTCAGGCAAAGTCTCTGGACACAAGAAAAATGCAGACAAACTTTCCGCCAAACTATAACACACATCATGTGGAGTTCAACAACCAATAAAGTCTTTCTTCCCAGCAGAAGTCACCCAAGCTTGGTCTTTACTGACAAGTTTTCTATCAGCCTTTTGGTCTCCTGAGCTCTGACCAGAATCTCCTCTATAGAACAGCAGGCTGCTCTAGCTTTTTGCATTCAAGCAACATATCCAAACCTTTACAAACTCTTCCTACAAGCCATTAACGCTCTTGAACCACACAATCAGGTACAGTCACAGCAAAAACCCCAATCCCAGTACCAAATTCTGTCTTAGTTACTTTATCCTCTCATTGTTGAACCAAATACTTGACGCCCAAAGTGAAACAAGGAAAGCTTTATTTATTACAGTTTTTTGGGTTTCAGTCTATACTCAGCTGGCTCCAAGGCAGGATGGTGAGGTCACTGTTCTTGACCACCCCAAACAACAAAGTGTAAATCAGGCAAGAGAAAAAAAGACATGCCTTTTTTCCTGCCCTTACACTGTATATCAGCTCTACACCTGGGTAGGTATAGCACTCATACCACCAATCCCAGTGCTGGACAATTAACCAATCACAAATGCTAGATTCAGCTGTATCCATGATTGCATGAGGCTTGGAGGAGGAGCATCCAAACAAATGACATCAAACAGCCAACATCATACTAACTGTAGAAGAGCTGAGTGCTTTCACTCTAAAGTCAGGAACAAGACAAGGAAGTCCAGTTAAGTTTTTTCAAAATAGTCCTGCAAACAAAGCAATTAGACAAGAGAAAGAAATAAAAGCAATAAGAGGAAAGGAAGAAGGCAAATTATCATTATTTGCAGATGACATGACACCCTATATAGAACAGCCCAAAAACTCCACCAAAAGACTTCTACATTTAGCATCATAAAATTTAGTAGTGTAGTTGGATACAAAGTCAACGCTCATAATTCAATAGCCTTTCTGTACACAAATAACAAACTCACTAAGAGAGAAATAAAGGAAACAACATCTTTCACAATAGCATTTAAAACAATGAAACAACTAACAATCAATCTAACAAAGAAAGTAAAAAGACTTCAAGATTGAAAACTGTAGGGCTCTAAAAAACAAGATCAAAAAGGATACTAGAAGATGAAAAAATGTTCTTTGGTAGGGAAGA